TTTTGTAAACTTTTTAAATTTTTAAGTTAAATATTAGTGCTTTTGGTATGCTCTATGAGTCTGACAATATCTTGGAGTTAAAGTTCTTTATATTTTATAAATATGAACTTCATTGTCAACTGACTTGCACTGCTCCAAGAATTAAAAAGATCAGAAATAAATGGGTAGATATTATAGTTACTATAGATTCAAATCAAATGCAATTCAATTTTGATACCTAGATAGCATTATTTTGTGAATATCTTTAAACATATGATTGTTTTTATGTGAATCTATTTTGGGAGTCTTAAAACATTAATGCATGAAAGAAACAGTACAAAAACTGCTAACTATGTGATAGGGACACACCATTGGTTGAACAGTAGTGTGAGTTTGGTGGAGTGGCTGGTGGTATCCTGTATTTAGCAACAGGGTATCATCTCTCTAGAAGGTCAAATTCAATAAATGTTCTGTAAATGTTTCAGTTTTAAAAATATCACTCAACTCATAAAGTATTACTACTTCATAAACATTCATAATTGTGATGAAACTTTTGTCTGAAACTATAACAAATGCATTCAGAGATTTACTTAAATGGGAGATGAGTCATTTTGTAACTAGAATGACTCATCTCCCATTGGTGCCTTGATTCTATGGCTGCCTTAAAGGAACATTTTACATGATTTTAACATCTCAAATGACTCTGGCTTTTGAACTGTCTACCTAGTTTCTTCTAAAATAAGAATGTGAGGCATCTTAATATGTCCAGACAAATTTTTGTATCTATCTCTTTGTGGATATGCACACATCTTGATATCAATTTTAGTGTTTCATGTGAGTTCTTTCTGCATTATTATAATTTTATTTTCTTTGTGTGTGTGTGGTTAATACAGGCAAATTTTGTGTGTATCTATTTGTGTACATGCACACATCTTGAAATCCATTTCAGTGTTCAATCTGAGTTCTTTCTGCATTATTATCATTTTATTTCATTTTTTGTGTGGTTATTATGGAGCAAAGTGAACTCTGGAAATGCATGCCAGATAGGCTACAAAAAACACAAGAGCATATGGTGCTTCAAGTGCATGAAGGTTTGATCTGTTTCACTTTATTGTGTTTTCCTGAGTGTAAAGAAAGCATAAATCATAAATCCTCAAACCCATTTTGATAAAGTGTAAAAAGTTGAGCTGGTTTTTGTCTTTATATTGTTTGCTATTAGCAATGATGTTTAAAAATTAAATGAAAGGTTGTAGCAAAAATTTGTTAATTTGATGACATCCTATAGATATAACTCAAGTAAAATACATTCTTCAATCCCTGTCTTAAATTATGGGGCATTTACAAAATGTACATATAAACAATGCAATACAAAAGGAAATGCATACTTTTATTTGAGTTTAATTCATCAGACATTTATTGAATTCCCAACATATTTCACACAAAGCAATGAAGATACAGAGGTGAATAAGACATGGCTTCTGTCCTTAAGGCACAGTCTATAAGGGAGTGTTAAATATATATGGCATATTAAGTACAGAGATGAAAGAAAGAAAGAAGAAAGAAAGGAAGGAAGGAAGGAAGGAAGGAAGGAAGGAAGGAAGGAAGGAAGGAAGGAAGGAAAGGAGGGAGGGAGGGAGGGAGGGAGGGAGCGAGGAGGGAGGGAGGGAGGAAGGAAAGAAGGAAGGAAGAAAGGAGGGAAGGAAGGAAGGAAGGAAGGAAGGAAGGAAGGAAGGAAGGAAGGAAGGAAGGAAGGAAGGAAGAAAAAAAGAAAGCAAGAGACAGAAGGATAGAGGGTGGAAGGGAGAGAGAGAGAGAGAGAGAGAGAGAGAGAGAGAGAGAGAGAGAGAGAGAGAACAGTAGTAGTACAGAGATGGGAAATTATTAACATTATTCAAAAGAATCAGGGAAGGCTTTCTACAATAGAACTGCCAACACTAAAGCTGAGTTTAAGCATGAATATGAACTTGCCACAAAGAAAACTTAATAAGGACATTGCAGTCTGAGGTATGAAGAAGGTATGAAGGCATATACCTGATAATTTTAACTTATTCAGTATTACTTGAATATAACATTGGCGGGGGGTGATGGTACTAGAGTTTTAGGAGAGAAAGCTAAAAGTTTAAACAGGAGCTGTACATGAGCTACAATTAATTTGTTATGGTCAAAGCATAAGGTTCTGGTGGGAAGGTCAGATAAGATGGAGAATGAAGCAAGATCTAGATAATAAAAAAAAAAATGTATGTTTCATACCAAGGAGTTTGAGCTCTACCCTGTAGGTGTTGGGGAAGTATCAAGGACTCTTCAACCATGTAATCATATGATCAGCTTTGTACTTCGATCATCCTGACAGGTATGACACCTAGACTGAAGTGGAAAGAGACTGGAAATAAGAAGTCAGTTAGGAGGCATTTGAAGGCAGCTATGCTCACCACTATACCACCAACGCCTTTAGTTAGGAGGCATTTGAAATAGGCCACACAAAAATAATACAGGCCCAAGACTCAGTGGACAACTGCATGTGGGGAGTGAAGGTAATGGATGAGTCAAAAAAGACTTCCAGGTTTCTGATTCAGGCTACTAAGTATAATAGATAGATGGTAGTACCATTGACTGAGATTGAAAATACAAGAGAAAAGAAATTATAATACAACTCACATATTATGAAAGTCTTACTTTAACCTAATTGAAACATGGACTCCTATTAAAAAAAAAAAAGCAACAACAAAGCTGATGAGCAATCTATGAGTGAAACTTTTATTAAATATTTTTAAGATATACTGTTTACTGGTGGCTCTAAAGTAAATTGTTCACTAGCCCAAAAGATGGATCATTGTCTAAACTGAGCATAAGGCATTGTCTGTAGCATACAGCTTAGTACTTGAATACATATTTTTGTTCTTATTCATTTAGTCAACAAATATTTATTCAGTAGCAGCGACTATTTTAAGTACTGAAATTGCAGGAATGAAAAGACAAGGTTCCTGCCCTCAAGAAGAATCACATTAGTCTTATTAGAAGGATCTGAAAAAAATCATAAAGGATAATGAGTTGAGATTATATTTAAGTGATAAATAAAAATTCATGTGTTAAATAGGAAAAGGAAAGCCTTGGACAATGATAGTATTACTAGGATATAAAATTGGAAGGATTGAGAAGAAAGGAATATGAGTTTAGACTGGTCAAGTATGAGCTATTATAGATGGTGCTTGATGGTAGAGCTTTCTATGCCAGACTAAGAAATTTGAATTCGATCCTGTAGAGAGGAGGAACTTTTGAGGAATTAAGAACAATGGTTCAAATGAATGGTACAGTGACCACACATTTCAGGTTTTCCAGGACAGTCTCATGTTATGAATTATATAGTTATCATATGTCAAAGGCATTGTGGAAGAGGAATTAAGGAAGGCAGAGTTTAGAGGTATGTAACAAATAACCGGTGTTTTTTTTTAGAAAAGAGATGTTGAGGACCTGAACAATTATAGTGGCCCTGGGTATGAAGAGTATCTGGTGAATAAGAGTAACAATGTGGATGCAGAATCTATAGACCTTCTCCTGATTGGTTCATGTGTGTAAATCTTGTTTTACTAACTGACTCTACTATTCTTTGGGACAGCAGTCATATTAGTAAAATATAACTTAAAGGTAATGATACTGATATGTTTGCTTCCAAAAAGAAAAGAGGGAGGGTAAGAGACATCCAAATAAATTATTCCTTTCAAAGTAATCCCCTTGAGAAGCTGTATCCTTATTCCCATAATGATATGGCCCAGAATTTTTCTGCATCTATTTGAGCAGTGCATTGAAGAGTCAACTGTCACTTCCTCTGGATTTATTCTGAATGGTGGAAAGTAGTCATCATCTAAGTAGTATATTGGGTATTTTGAGATAATAAAAGTAATATTTTTTCCAAATTCAAACATGATAAATTAATAGTTTTTTTCTGTGACTTATGAACTTACTCCACAAAGTTGGGAGCAATCTATAGAAATAGAAAATACAATAATGGTTGCCTAGGAATCAGTTGTAAAGCTGAGGGGGATGAAATTGACTGATAACAGGTACAAGGTTTCTTTCTTTGTATGATGAAAATATTCTAATATTAGATCACTATAACATTTAGTAAATTTGAACAACTCTAAAAATTTACTAAAAGTTGTTGAATTATACACTTTAAATGGGTGAAGTTTATGCTATGGAAATCATACTTTAGTAAATATTTTAAAGATGTTTGGAGTGCTAGAAGGGCCCTAGGTTCAGGGGTGTATATTTTTAAAGCATAAGTCTCATCACTTTATGATTAAACTTTGTTTCTATCTCCATCTAAATCTTTCCTAGAATAGTACTGAGTTCATAGAAATTGCTTAATAGTTATTTGTCCAGCATAATTGAATGTAGTATGGGTGTTCAATTTTATTTCATTTTAGAGAATATGGTGATTTTATTAAATAGTGTGTATAAGTTTTTAAATGTTTTTTTAAAATATATTTTATTGATTTTTCTACAGAGAGGAAGGGAGAGAGATAGAGAGTTAGAAACATCAATGAGAGAGTCATTGATCAGCTGCCTCTTGCACACCCCCTACTGGGGATATGCCCGCAACCAAGGTACATGCCCTTGACCGGAATCGAACCCGGGGCCCTTCAGTCCCCAAGCTGACGCTCTATCCACTGAGCCAAACCGGTCCCGGCAGTTTTTAAATGTTTTTATCTATCTCCTAAATTTACAGTATAATTTGTGTGTACTTTCAATAAATGTTGAGTTATGACCAGTCCTTTCTTTATGTTTCACAAACATCAACAATTTTTATTACAAACAGTATAGATTGTTATTAGTACTTAAATTAGTAGATTACTATTTATTTAAGAAAATGTATTATTATCCATATAAATTATAGAAATCACACAGAAATGTTGTTCTAATGTTTTGTCATTAACTCTGGCATATTAATTTTTAGTATTACATAAAGATAAACCAATCAGTTTCAACCTCACTTTCTCTCTCTCCTCTCCTCACCTACTCAGGAAGCATTGTGAGTGTTGGTGATCCAAAGAAAAAATACACAAGATTTGAAAAAATTGGTCAAGGGTAAGTGATGGTTAATTAAAATACAAAAATATGTATCAAAGATATACATTAAAATTCAATAATAGTTTGGATTTCTGATAATTTATGCTCCTCACTTTCTGAGTTACATTAATGTTTTCATCCTCAGTGTTGGCCTTTCTGATTGGCCAACCAAAACATATCCTGCTAGAATCTTCTCTATTGTTGGGCTGACAAAGAAATTATTAGGGACATTTTGATCACATTTGGTTGGAAGAGTCAAACTGATTTCTTTAGAAAAGTAGTACATTTTCACCTATTATACTCAATAATAATAAGATTCCAGGATAACCAAGTTGGTGGCACAGGTAAATGCCAGTACTTAATGCCTCCCACAACCACATCAAAATTACCACTAAAGTACAGAGCAACCATCATTCAGAACCACCTGAAATCTGGGTGAATGGCAGTCCTATAACTAGAAAGTAAAGAAGAAAGCACATTCAGACTGGTAGGCGGGGTGGAGGTGCAGAATGAGCTGGTCCGATACCCATGCACAACATTTTCTTTTTAATTGGGAGGGATAGCTCAGCTGTGGAGACCTACCCTGAGGAGCAAGGTGTCTCAGCCACACACCAGATGCCCAGCCCAGGGTTCCAGAGACTAGAAGAGGAGTCCACATAACTTTAGGCTATATAGTTGGGGATTGTGGCTGAGTGACACGAAGACTGATGGAGTCCCATGCAGTTCCTTTAAAAGGGCCAGTTTCTTTTAAACTTACACAGTTATGATCCCTCCTGTCTCTAATGCTATTTGGCAGCATTGGAGGATCCAGGTAGATACTAGGGGGAACTGCATTTTCTGGCATCAGAGCAGGAACTCAGGAGTGGCTTTCTCTCAGAGTGGGGTGTTTGTAAGTTGCATTGTTCCTGAGATGGGATCTCCCCATTGCAAGGCTGACTGAGTTTCCATCAGCTTGGCTCACACTATTTGCTCTACCCTGTTGATTCCCTAAGACCCCGACCCATCCAATTTGCAGCCCCACCCAAGGTGTTGGCAGCAGCTTTTACATATGACTGGCATGTCATGGATCAGGCTTCAGATTTAAAATATCTCAAACAAGCAGCAGCTGGCATCAGCATACCACATACCTGTCAATAAGAAGCCCAAGACACAACACTAGCAAAGCCTGCCTTGCTTCACAGCTTGGTTTTGCTTTGGCACTTCCAATCCCAATGCAAATGGCAGCCACCTGCAGATCCATATGTAGTTCCTGCTGGGTGGCCTCAGGCAGTGGCTAACTGCACTTCCCAGGAGGCCTCAGAGCCAGTACACTCAGTGGATAGCTTCAGACCATATCAGATTATAACTCAACACATCTACAAGCAACACACTCAAGGGCAGACTTAGTGAGCACCAAAGCTCCACTGAAGCAAGTCCTGTTCCATAGGGGTTTCTAGTGCACAGCAGCTGTTCCACTATAGCTGCAGCTGGTCCTCACAGCCAATTGGCCTGGAGGTCAATTCCTCCCACTGATGCCAACAGCAAGCAAGGCTCAACTACACCAAGAGTATACACACAGCACTCATACCTAGAGTGCATAGCTCAGGTGACTGGGGAGGCTGAGCCACTGGGCCCTACATATCACCTGTTACACAAAACCACTCCACCAATTTCAGGAGAAATAGAAACTCTACCTAATACATAGAAACAAACACAGGGAAACAGCCAAAATGTGGAGACAAAGAAGCATGTCACAAATGAAAGAACAGAAGAAATCTCCAGAAAAAGAACTAAATGAAATGGAAGCAAGCCAACTACTGGAAACAGAGTTCAAAACAACTGGTCTAAGGTTACTCAAGAATCTTAATGAGAACTTCAAAGGACTTAATAAGAATTTCAAGGGACATATAGAGACTTTCAAGGATCTTAGTGAGAATTTCAAAGACATGAAATAGAAGCATACACTAACCTAAATAAAGAATAATTTATAGGGATTCAACAGTAGAGTAGAAGATTCCAATAATCAAATCAATGATTTGGAATATAGGGAAGCAAAAAACACCCAATAAGAAGAGTAACTAGAAGAATGTATTCTCTGGGACAATTGCCAGTGTATAAACATTCACATTATGAGGGTTCTAGAAGCAGAAGAGAAAAAGCAAGATATTGGAAAAAAAAAAAAAAAAACACTATCTGAAGAAATAATAACAGAAAATGCCCCTTACCTGGTGGAAGAAATAGACATACAAGTCTAGGAAGCACAGAGAGACCCAAATAGGCCCACACCAAGACACATCCTAATTAAAATGACAAGGGTTAAAGACAAAGAGAGAATCTTAAAAGCACCGAGGGCCTGCCAGACATGGCTTCATGGCTTAGTGGTTGAGTGTTGGGGTACATACCTGGGTTGTAGGCTCAGTCTTCACTGTGGAGTGTGCAGGAGGCTGCTGATCAATGATTCTTTCTCATAATTGTTGATTTTATCTATGTCTCCCTCTCTTTTCCTCTCTGAAATCAAGAAATATATATATATATATACACAATATATGTATATGTATATGTATATGTATATGTATATGTATATGTATATGTATGTGTATGTGTATGTGTATGTATATGTATATGTATATGTATGTATATGTATGTATATATATATGTTTGGTTATCTATAAGGGAGATCCCATAATACTATCAGCTGATTTCTCAATAGAAACTTTGAAGAATAGAAGAGAATGGTAAGAAATATTCAAAATGATGATTGAAGGTCAGATAAAAATATTCAGAGACAAGAAAAAGCTAAAGAAATTCATCACCTCCAAACTAGTATTACATGAAATTTTGAAGTGTATTCTTTAAGAAGAAGAAGAAGGAGGAGGAGGAGGAGGAAGAGGAGGAGGAGGAGAAGAGGAAGAGGAGGAGGAGGAGGAGAAGAAGGAGAGGGAGAGGGAGAGGGAGGGAGAGGGGGAAGAATAAAAAAATATGAACAATAAAATGGCAATTAGTACATATCTATCAACAATTGAATCTAAAAACAAAAAAGGAATATAATTAACAAAATAAACTGATGAATAAAATGGAACCAGAGGCATGGAAACATGGAACAGATTAAGGACTGATGAATCTCAGAGGGAAGGGGGTTAGGGGATGGGAAGAGATTAACCAATGGTCTTATGTGCTATATACATTTCCTATGGACACAGACAATAGGATGGTGAAGACCTGGGGTGTGACTGGAACTGACTGGAAGGGGTCAATTGGGGGACAAAGGGGAATATCTGTGTTCTCTCAAAAATAAAGATTTAAAAAAAAAGAAAAAAAGAATAAAGATTCCAAGGCCTGACTGCCAGAGACTTGATTCAAAAGTATGTAGTGGGGACAAGGAAAGTAAACTTTGGAAAAGTTCTTTAATTAATCCTGACCATTAATTAGACATGTGAACCAATGGGGCTAAGGTAGGAGTTACTAGTTCTAGAAATCAGCTGTAATTAGGTATGCCTCTTAGGCCTCAATGTGAAACTAAGTGGAAGGGCTTCAGTTGTCAACTGTTTTAAATAGGGAAAGTTTTCCTTAAAGAAATAAAGTGATCTTCATGGCTGCCCTTAAATGGAGAATGGGGCAAGATATGTTGGTGCACCAATTACTGTCTGACAGGAACGAATATAGTACCTCTGATGTCTCTTGGATGAGACAAGGGACTAGAAGGAAGGGATGTATCTAATGTGCCTGAAAAATTGTGCTAGCCCTTCAGCCAATAGTTTGTTTTTCAATAAATGAATGTAGGAGTTTCTTCAAGAACCTCACTGTTTTTCCTGGGATTCTTAGGTTCAGAAAATTATATATAAGCTCAACTATTTTTCATGATTTTTATATTTTACTTATTTCTTCCGCTAGCTTTTGTAGTAAAGTTTCTCTTGAAATTGTCAAGTTATCTTGGGAACTAAGGGAAGCATTTATTATATTTTGGCTAGAGGATAAAAGGGACATATTTTGCCCCCTTACTTGTGGAGATTTTGATTTGTGGGAATCAAGGTAAGAAGACCAGGACGATATACATAGCCAACCTTTTCCCAATAGAAGCCATAATGGTGCTGCATTTCTAGGAGATTAGCTACTTGTGCTTTTGCTCCTTCTTTTGTCATTTGATAGCACTGTATTTTCACTTGTTCATTTTTTAAAAAGTGTTTTGTGGTCTCTAGGGGCTCCCTTTTGATTGGACTTAACCAATCAAATAATATGTCTGCCCATTTCTCAGTGCTGTCCAATAAAAATTTCTGTAATGATGTAGATATACTGTATCTGTGTCATCTTATATCACAATCACTAGCATGTGTGGCTATAGAGCACTTGAAATATGTCTAGTGCAAATAAGAAATTATTTAGTTGAATTAATTAATTTTTAAGCACACATAGAGATGGGTATTGATGGTATGAGCCCTCAAGAACTTATTTTTAAAAATATATTGTATTATTATTATTTTTTTTTTTTACAGAGAGGAAGGGAGAAGGATAGAGTTAGAAACATCAATGAGAGAGAAACATCGATCAGCTGCCTCTTGCACACCCCCTACTGGGGATGTACCCGCAACCAAAGTACATGCCCTTGACCAGAATCAAATCTGGGACCATTCAGTATGCAGGCCTATGCTCTTTCCACTGAGCAAAACTGGTTAGGGCAAGAACTTAAAGTTTACTATGATAAATGTCTGACAAAGGGCAATATAGGGTGCAAGGAGAATATCAAGACAAGCCTACTGAATTCACCAGCAGGGCTGCCTTTTAAAGCTATTATTTTCCACCTAGAATTTTCCTTCTTAACCTCTGGTGGAATGGTAAAACAACTTTAGTAAGTAAGCCATGCCTTTTTATGTTCCTACGTGAGCCTCATCTTGTTTTTTCATGCCCCAAAGGGAAACTCCACAAGGAAGATTGTAAAAACACAATATTATGTATTAAGAAGGCTCAGAAAATAAATGTTGGATTTTAGATTTGATTTTGATTGGGTTGAATCTTTGGTGTAGTTAACAATAGAAAATGATACA